TGGGCAACAAAGCGAAACCCCGTCTCTACAAAAAATATAAAAATTAGCCAGGCGTGATGGTGTGCACCTATAGTCCCAGCTACTCGGGAGGCTGAGGTGGGAGGATCACTTGAGCCTGGGAGGTTGAGGCTGCAGAGAGCTGAGATCTTCCCACTGCGCTCCAGCCTGGATAGTGAGACCCTGTCTCCAAAAAAAAAAAAAAAAAAAAGTTGGCTGTGCCGGTGCATTCTGTCTCGCTGATCCTGCCTCTTTTTCTGCTGATGTCACAATCTTGACTGCTATCACTGTAAAATAAATCCACAATGGGTAGTGAAATGAGTAGTATTCCTTCTGCTTTTTTCTTCTAGTTAAAAAATTGTTTAGCTGTTCTGGTTCCTTTGCCTTTCCAAATACATTTTAGAATAATCTTGTCTATATCCAGAAAAAAATCTCATTGGGCTTTTGGTAAGAGTTACATATTAAACCTATCAATTCTCCAATGAAACACCTGGCCTTGGAGGTTTTTCAGGGCTTTAAAATAATAAATTCGGTTTCCTTAATAGTTACAGAGCTATTTGAATTATCTAGTTCATCTTTGCTGAGATGTGGTATTTGTGCTTTTCAAAAAACTGGTCCCTTTGAACAACCTGTGGAATTTAGGTGGGTAGTTATTTACAGTGCCCTCTTCCTGTCCTGATGTCTGTGGAGTTCGATCCCCTTATTTCATTTCTAATATTCATCATTTGTCTTCTCTTTTGTGTCAGTCTTCCTAGAAGGCTCATCAATGGTATCCATTTTTCCAACCTGGCAAACCGCTCTTCCCTGCACCCTGCTCACTGCTGGCTGCCTTCCCAGGATGTTTTACCTTCCTCAGACAGTCTTAACTCCTTGGCAAAGTGCCCACCTTAAAACACCCATATCCCCCCATGCCTTCCCAACTGCTGAGAGTCATGGCCAATGCAAAGTGAAGGCAGGCCTGTGGACACAGTGGGAGCCAGGGTTTCCTCAGCTGGCCTGACCTTTGCCCTTCTTCTCCTGTTGGTACCTCAAATCTCTGATGGAGCAGAAGCCCTCTTCAGGTAGGTGAGGATGGCAACTGGGGAGAAGGGACTTACATCCCTGGTGGCCTCAGGAGGCCTCGGTACCACCTTGGACTTAACACAAGAATAAAACCCCTCCTTGCTTAAGCCTGGTGGTGGGTGGCTGCCAAACAGTCCTGATTACCATATCCACTCCCCACTCCCAGACTGGTTCTTCCTCAGCATCCCATCCTTTAGTTCTTTCAGCAAAGATCAGTGCACCGTAAACACTTACTGACATAAGCTTGGAAACGTCTTCATGCCCCTGCTTGTGATAACTAAACAGACTTGACACTGGTTTTCTTAGCACTTAGGAAAACTTTATGTTCTGGTATCGACTGTTGATGAAAAGTGAAACTAATTTCTTTGTAGGTGATCTTTTAACATTTTAACATGTAGCTTGTATGATTTTTTTTCCCTTTGGCTTCGATGTTCTCATCTAGACCACTGTAGTGAAACTGCAGATGTAGTAAAACTGCTCTTAAAAATATATACATATGCTAGGTGCAGTGGCTCATGCCTATAATCCCAGCACTTTGGGAGGCTGAGGCAGGACGATTGCTTGAAGTCAGTTGGAGAGCAGACTGGCCAAAATGGTAAAACTAAAAATACAAAAGAATTAGCCAGGCATGCTGGCACACACCCGTGGTCCCAGTGAGCTGAGATCGTACCACTGCACTCCAGCCCGGGTGTCAGAGAACCCATCTCAAAAAAATAAAATAAAAATAAGCCTGTGTGTTGAAATACAGCATATACACCAAAGTGTATAAAAATGAGTAAGTCTAGAGAATAAATTCCCTTCACTCAAGCCAAGAAAACACACTGTCATTATCTCAAAGGGTCCCTCTCCAGAGCTAACTACAAGGCTAAAGTTGACAATCACCACCTTGCTCTTCTGCCCTGGCCCTACCACCTGTGTGTTGTCCTTACATCGTCTCACTCTGCCTGTTCAGAATGTCACACAAATGGCTCATACTCTATTTCTTACATGACTCGCTTCTTTTAACATCTATCCATTTGTTGCACATGGCTGTAGCTCTTCTCACAGCTATGGAACACTGCACTGTAAGAACGACAACTTACCTATTACCACATTCTGGCTTTGATTTGGTGTGTGTGTGGACACATGTGCCCATGCTATCACGAACAATGCTTCTACAAGCATTTCTCTTCCTGCCTCCTAGTGTACATGCGCAACAGTTCTCGAGGGGACTAAGAGTGGAACTGATGGGTCCTAGCGTGCACATGTTCAACTTTTCCAATGTGGTTTACACATTTCACACTCCCACCGCTGTGGGTGGGAGGTCTCACTGCTCCACAGCAAGCTGATGTAGCTAATGACACCTCTGAAACTCTCCCTTGCCTGGCATCACTCCCACCACCTCCACGTTCTTTGGCTAATCCTGTGCCTGACAGAGCTTTTCTAACCCCACTAATCTTTCTTTCTATTAGCTTCTGAGGTGGGGTCTCACTCTGTTGCCCAGGCTGGAGCACAGTGGTGTGAGCAAAGCTCACTGCAACCCCCACCTCCCAGGCCCATTTCCCACCTCAGCTTCCCAAGTGGCTGGGACTACAGACACACACCACCGCACCTAATTTGTTTTTTTGTAGAAGACAGGGTTTCACCATGTTGCCGAGGCTGGTCTTGAACTCCTGGACTCAAGCAATCTGCCAGAGACTCAAGCAAACTCACCCTCCCTAAGTGCTAGGATTACAGGCATGAGCCACTGCAACCGGTTGGCTTTAGGTTTTTCAAAAACACAGCAAACTGAGTTGAAAGAAAAAAAAAAAGAAAAGCAGTCTAATACCTTGTCATTACTGATATATTTGGATTCAACTACTCAATCTACCTTTTCTCTCTGCTTTCCTTTGGATCGTTACTTTTTTCTCATTCTGGTTTTTTTTTTTTTTTTTTTTCTCATCTCCTCTAGAAGTAGTACACTCTGTTTCTACTCTTTTCAGGTTACCCTAGAAATGTCAACCGACCTATTTCCCAGTCTTATCCCTCTTCCTGAGTGAGCTTCTTCAAGGACTGTAACCCTAACCACCTCCTACCTCTGAACTTATACACCACTGTTATGTATTTTTTTTTTTTTTTTGAGACGGAGTTTCGCTCTTGTTACCCAGGCTGGAGTGCAATGGCGCGATCTCAGCTCACCACAACCTCCACCTCTTGGGTTCAAGCAATTCTCCTGCCTCAGCCTCCTCAGTAGCTGGGATTACAGGCATGTACCACCATGCCCAGCTAATTTTTTTGTATTTTTAGTAGAGACGGGATTTCACCATGTTGACCAGGATGGTCTCAATCTCTTGACCTCGTGATCCACCCACCTCAACCTCCCAAAGTGCTGGGATTACAGGCGTGAGCTACCGTGCCCAGCCCACCACTGTCATGTATTCTAAATAGCCCTTGCTTTTCCTCACAACACAGTTTTGTTTTATAAGGTCGGTGCTTATTTACATTTATACTTTCTTTCTCTGGACTTTCCATCTGGGATTGTGACCCTCAGTCTGAAAATATCATTTATGATTTTTTTCAAAGGAGAATGCTTATTTAAAAAAAAAAAAAAAAAACTTTATATAGAGTTCGCCCACTAAAGAGCACAATTCAATGGCCCTTGGAATTTCAGCATATTCAGACTTGTACAACCACAATCACTTTTAGAACATTTTCATTACCCCAAAATAGATTTTCATTTAGTGAGAGTCTGCTGGTGACAGAATCCCTGACTTGTGGGTCTAAAAACATCGTAGGTCTAGGCCGGGCGTGGTGGCTCACGCCTATAATCCCAGCACTTTGGGAGGCCGAGATTGGTGGATCACGAGGTCAAGAGATCGAGACCATCCTGGTCAACAAGGTGAAACCCCGTCTCTACTAAAAATACAAAAATTAGGTGGGCATGGTGGCGTGTGCCTGTAGTCCCAGCTACTCGGGAGGCTGAGGCAGGAGAATTGCTTGAACCCAGGAGGTGGAGGTTGTGGTGAGCCGAGATCGCGCCATTGCGTAACAAGAGTGAAACTCCGTCTCAAAAAATATATATATCTTAGGTCTGGCGCAGTGGCTCATGCCTGTAATCCCAGCACTTTGGGAGGCCAAGGTGGGCAGATCACTCGAGTTCAGGAGTTCAACATCACCCCGGGCAACATAGTGAGACCCCATCTCTATAAAAAACAAAAACTACGTCTCATTGTTTCTCTGAGTATGCAATTCTAGGATGACAATTTTCTCTCATTCCTGTTAACACTGTTTATAGCTGAGACATCTGTTGCTGTGTTGCTCCTTGAAAGGTAGTATGTCTTTTCTCTCCAATTTTAAGATATTTTCTTGGTCTTTGCGCTCTTTAATGTTATTACAACGTGATTACGTATGTGGTAGTTTTAAAAGAAGTCCACAAATTCTTAGACGGCCCCCGCTTCAGGAAGTGGAACCTAATTCTTCTCCTTTAAGTGTGGGCTGGGTGTAGTGACTTGCTTCTAACAAACGGAATGTGGCAGAATATCGCTTCCAAGACCAGATCACAAGATCTGAAGCCCAACACTCCTTCCTGCTTTCTCTCTAGGATTGCCACTCTGGGAAAGCCACCAGCCATGTCTTGAGAACATTCGGGCTGATGAAGAAGTCCATGTGGCAAGGCACAGGGGCTTCCATTCAATAGCCCCGTAAGTCATCTTGTAAACAGATCCTCCAGTCCCAGTCCAGCCTTCAGATGAGTGCAGCTACACAACTGACCCCACGCTAGACCTACCCAGCTAAGCCACTCCTGATTCCTGGCCCACAAAAACTGAGGTAGTAAGTGTGTATTACTTTAAGTCTCTGAGTTTTGGGTAATTTATGTGTAGCAATTGTTTTTTAAGTAAATTTGCTGAGTTAGAATAAACATATGAAAAGTGCATAAAACATGTATACAGCTCAATGAATATTCACAAAGTCAAAATACCTAGTTAATCATCACCCAGATGAAGAAACGGAAGATTTGGATGTTTATTTTTTCCTATTAACCTGCTTGAGCTTGCTGGTCTTCTTGAATCTGCGAATTGGTGATTTTCAAAAGTTCTGAACATTCTCAGCCACTGTTGTTAAATATCGCCTCTGCCTCACTTTCACTTTTGTTTTCCCTCCTGGAACTCCATCGCTCTATGTCGGATCTTTTCATTCTATTCTACACGTCTCTCAATCTGTTGCTTTACATTACTGATCTGTTTATCTTGCTGGGTTGCATTTTGGAAAACTTCAGATCTAGTTTCCCATTCACTAATTGTTTCTTCACCTTTGTCTAATTCACAGATACAAGGTTTTTAATTGCCTTAATACATTATAGTGCTATACAGTCATTCCTTTATCCATGGGGGGCATATTCCAAGACCCCCAGTGGATGCCTGAAATGGTGGCGAGTACTGAACCCTATATATACTGTGTTTTCTCTTACACATAAATACCTATGATAAAATTTAATTTATAAATTAGGCATAGTAACAAGTTAACAATAACTGAGAAAACAATTATAACAATATACAGTAGTTAAAGTTATATGAATGTGGTCTCTCTCAAAGTATCTTATTGCTTAAGAAAAAAAAAGAAGTGGTTGGCCATTCTTTCTTCAAGTACCTTCTTTCTCTGGTTTCCTTTTCTTGGAACTCCTGTCATCTATAGAACATGTATCAGTATGGCAAGGTTCTCAAGCTACCTTCCATCTTGCCTTCTTTATCTCTCACTGCCACCTTCTATATGACCGTCTCAGCTTTAACTTCCAATTTACTAATCCTTTCTTGGACTTTAATACTTAGCTTTCTAGTAAGTTTCTTGTTTTAAGAGCTATTTTCTTTCTTTCCAAGATTTCTAATCAGTTCTTTCTTATGTCTAACCTTTGTTCTTAAGGGTACCAGACCCTCTTTTATCTCTCTGATGCAAAAACAAATGCTCATTTTTAAAGCCTTTTAGGCTGTTACTATTTCAGTTTCCTTGGGTATAAATCCTCCCACTTGGGTTACTGATCATTCTGTAAGACACTGGATTTTCTCATGTATTTTGTAATTTTTGTTTGAGTGCTCATGATGCATGGTACTTTCTGTTTTTCCTTAGAGGACAACATCCAGGGTCATAAAGTCAGAAGCACACGTTTCATTAGCTCTCAGGACTGTCATACTGTTGGATAACCCTTCTCTAGTCCCAGAGCTTGTGCTGAGTGGCAGCCTAGTTGCCAGTCACTGGGTATCCAAGTCTTTCCACTGCTGCAGACAAGCATCCTGTTTCCAACTGCAATCTCAGGAGATGCAGGGAGTCTTTTCATCCCTTTTTTCGTAGGAAAAGAAGTCTGGTTTCAGTTTTACCAACTGGATAGAGGGAGCCTGGCTCCAGTCCTGCATGTACCCCTGGAACTAGGAAATACTGAAAAGGCTTCTGCCCCATGTGGGAGTCAGAGTCTTGGTCTTGTCTTACTACTCAGTGCAGAAGCTGGACACCTACCACTTTAGCCCTCACCCACAGCTAGAAGTTTCTGTTCCCTTTTCCACACAGGAATTACCTTCCAAGAATAGTTGCTAATTTTAACTTAAAGGGTTTTTCACTCGTTGTGTGAGTGTGCTTGTCTCTATGTGCACAAACCCACTCTGCCTCTATGACCAGAGTGCTTGGCACTGTCTGCCAGAAACAGGCCATTGTGTTTCTGGAAGAGGAAAGGAAGAACACACTGAATGGCTTAGGGCAGAGGCAGGAGGCTCAAGGGGAAATCCCAAAGGAAACTCAAGGGTGTAACCATCCTGGAGGAGATGCAAGTCTACTTGGCCACAGGTCCTGCAGTCAAAGATGATGCAGTCAGCCAGTTACCCTGGAGAGTCTGCTCCACAGAAGAGGCTCATGTCCTAAAGCCAGAACCTTGGGGATCTAGGGTCCATGACCACACCTGAAACCCAGCTTAGAAAATCCCCGTCTCTAACAGAATGGGCCACCCCTCCCACGCAAGGGCTCTGTCCCAGGGGAGCCATAGTCTAGCTCTGACTGGTGGAGCAGGGAGAGGGGCTGCCTGGGGCTGGGCAGAGTGAAGAACACAGTGCCAGCAGCCTCAAATCTGGAGTGGCCCTGAGTTGGGGTTTGCCAAGGCCTACTCTCTCTCACACTGTGAGAAGATCCCAGAGAAGCAGGGTGGGAGTCTCTCCATCTACTCCACAGACTACTACAAGGCCTAGGCCTGGGGGAGGTCTTAAAAGAACTCTCTCAGTCTCTGTCTCTATCACCCAAGGATCTTGAGATGACTGCACTGACCATGGACTGGGCCAGGACTTGGACGCAGAAGGCAGCGCTGAGCGTTCCCCACCCTCCAGCCTTAACATGCCCAGCCCAACACAGGGGTTATTCATACTAAGTACCACCTCTGCAGTCACCCTGTCGTGGAGCCCAAATCCACAGTACCCCCAGACCTAGGAAATATGTGACAGATTTCTGCCACACACAGGGGTTTTCTTGTCTATTTAGAGATTTTTTTTTAAAGTTCAAAATACATACATATATACATACTCATGTACAAACACAGGCACACCCAGAGTTGCTGCTGTTCTGCCTCCATTTAGAATGGCAGGGGCCACTCAGGAGACAAGGAGCTGACCTCAGCCATGGGGGTTTCAGACTTGACAGGAAGGAAGTCTCTGCTCAGAAGCCAAACTGGAGGCGATGGCAAGCCTCACCCCAATCCCTGCCCAAGACCACCCCCTGCAGGACATGCCTGACAGGCGCATGGCGGGGCAGGGCATGCCTCAATCGGAGTCACAGGCCTTCTGTTCGGTGGCAGCGTCCACTGCAGAGGCTAGGCTGTCTTCCTGACCTTTTAGTCTTTCACCTGGGATGGATGGCAGACAGATGTGGTGGGGAGGGGCCCTGTGCTTGGGCCACCACCCAGAGGGCAGGACCCCACCTTGCCAGGCCCTGAACTTACGGATCAGCTCGGCAATGGCCCTCTGAGTCCTCTTTTTTAGTTTCTCCAGCTTCTTGGCCACATCTCTCTTGAGGTCCCTGGAACAGGGAGGCAAGGAGAAGCAGAAGGCTGAAGGCTGGCCTGATGTGGTCTTGGGCCCCCTCCTCCCTTCTTGCAGCCCTCTGGCATTAGGAGTCATGCTTGGTTGCTTGAGGGGGCTGCCCTGGGGAAGAGGCCAGGACATTCCCCTTCTATACCCTCCAAAACCTAGCACCAACCATCCTTCCCTGTCCCACTGAGGTAGGGGGACTAGCACCACAGACCCACCCAAAATAAGGGGCTGAAACAAGGCATGCAAAGATGGATGGTTTCTCAGGGACACTCTCTTGGTCTGGTCGTATGGTCACTATCAGAGGGTGCCTTGCTCTGGCCCACTGTGGGCCCTGCTCCTCTTCTAGCCACAGGCCCAGCCCCTCCACTGTGGGTATCCAGAAGTGAACAAGCAGTCAGTCCGTTCTCTCTGGCTCTGCGTTTCCCAGGACATATGCTTTTGTTTCATCAAATTAAAACAACCTCAGCTGGTGACTCGACCCAGAATCAGGTAAGAGGGATACAGGGCTACTTCCAGCTCAAGGTCAAGACAGACAAAAGTCTCCCAGCCCACAGCACCCTCTCCTACTCTCTCTCAGCATAGCAAGAAGGATGTCGACCTCTGTTTCCGAGAGAAGGGAACCAGAGCCAGAGGGAACACACTGTGGTTGTAGAACAGGAAGAGAAAACTGTATCTGCCCTTCCTTCCACCCCTGGCCCCCAAGGATAGCAGTTGGCCTTGCTCAGATGGGCGCTCTGGAGCAGATGGTTCTCAGCCTCTCAGAAGGGCCTTCGTGAGGAGCCTGCTGCTCCCCACACCTGAGCCCCTCTCCATCACTCCCCTCTCACCCCATCACGTATGTCCTCCTCAGAACTGGTTTCCAACAATAGCCATCTCATGTAACTCTATGTCAGTACTGCCAGTCTCTGCACTGCGTGGATGGAAAGAGCCAAGCCCCAGGCCCACGCTGGCACCAAGAGCCCCCAAGTCGGCCTGTACTATCCCTCACAGGCAACACTCACCAGTCAGGCTTCCGAGGAGCGAGGTTGGCCAGATCCTGGAGAGGGAGGAGACACATATCACGATGGAGAGGCTGCCCCAGGGGAAGGGGGAAGGCAGGCTAGAGAGGGAGAGAATGAGAGAAAGAGGAGGAGGAAGGAGAGAGACAAGGACAAAGAGGCAGGTGGCAAGGGAATAAAGAAGTGACAAGAAGGAAGGGGGCAGAGGGAGAGCAGATGGGGAAGAGAAACAGGACACACAGAAGCAACAAGGAGGCCAGGGCAGCCCAGGCACTCACCACCTCCTCGATGACAGGCTCGGGCTTGGCGGCCTCCAGCTGCTCTTTCACCTTCTCTTCCACTAGAGGGTGCAAGACAACAGAGGAGGCCTGTGAGAAAGGCGCTGCCACTCTGCAGAGACACTGCCTGCTGTGGCCCCGAGGAGAGACGGGACTCCAGACTTCCTTGCTCCCACCTCTCCATGGCCCCCAACCAGCCAGAGGTGAAGACCCTGCAAAGGCAGCTCTGGAGAAGGGGCCTGGGTTTCCCAAGATGAAGGCAATCCCCATGGCCAAGAACGGGACAGCAGGAGGCAGCCACCCACAGTCAGTCAGGAAGCATGGACACTGACAAGCGCTGCCTGGATACATACAAAATGAGAACCAGCTTCTCACATCATCCCAGGGCTCCTGGGCTCTGAGGACGTCCTCTAGGTCCCAGCCTAGCCAGAGCCACAGGTGGCTTTTCTTCCATCCCACCTAAGGTATGTGCTCCTAAGACCAGGGCATAGGCACCTCCCAGCTCCTCCAAGCTGCTGCCAGCACAGTGGGCCTCTGAGAGGTCTGACCAGGAGGCTCCTGCCCCTTGGGGACAAATGCAGAAGCACTAACAACTCTGGGCTCTGTGGGCTTCCTCCAGCCCCTGGCACCCAGTGGGCCCATGAGTGCCCTTCCTGCTCTGCCTCACCTCCCTCCAGACACAGATGAGAGCTGAGGGTTAACCCTGACCAGAGGCGTGGGGCCAGTTCCTCACCCTCCTCTGTCCTGCCTACTGTCCCCCACTGCACCATCACCGTACCAGGTGGGGCCCAAAACACAAAGCGAATCACAGGGAAGTGTCTGGATTTCATGGATGAAAGAGGTGGGGAAGGAGACTAGAATGTGACCGAACAGGTGACACTTTACTTTTTACCAAGATAAATGTATTTATTCATTCATTACTTGTCCAATTAAAAGGAAGTCGATAACAAGGCCAGGCACAGTGGCTCACACCTGGAATCACAGCACTTCAGGGGGCCAAGGTGGGTGGATCACTTGAGATCAGGAGTTTGAGACCAGCCTGGCCATACAGCAAAACCCTATCTCTACTAAAAACACAAAAATTAGCCAGGCGTGGTGGCGTGCACCTACAATCTCAGCTTCTCAGGAGGCTGAGGGTACAGTGAGCTGAGATTATGCCACTGAACTCCAGCCTAGGTGACAGAGTGAGACTCCGTCTCAAAAACAAACAAACAAAAAACCCCCACTAATGTAAAGAATTAAAATGGGTACCCTCTGGGCAAAGGCCCAGGGATCCGCAAGACTAAGAAGCTTCCTGGCATGTGTGGACGCCCAGAAGCTCCTGGTGGCTATGCTGCTCCCATGCCGTGGCAAAAGACTAGGCAAGCCTCAGGCCCTCTCCCCTGCCTCAGTGCTCCACATTGCCTGTCCACTGCTATACATGGCTAAATGAATGGCCCATCTCTGACCCACCCAGGGCCCACAGGACCCATCACCCTGCCCTGCTGCTCAACGGCCCCATGACCACATCCACTTCTCAGCCCAGGAGTCCTATAAGAGGATGTGGATTCTTTCAGACCCCACTCACATCCCTGGGAGGCCTCGGCCTCAGGGTATGAGCAGGACTGAGAAGGCGTAAGAGGCCTCTTCAGTGCCCAGACAGCCTCTGCTGCCACCAAAGGCCAACTATGTGTGTATCTGCCATGAGATGGTGACAAAGGGTCCTGCCTGCAGGCCCAACTCCTGTCCTGGTACTGCTGGTTATTCTCTAATAAGAGAGAGCAAAGCCTGCAGAGGCGGAGGGCAGCTGACAGTGCCAGGGAGCAGAGGTGGAGAGAGGCAGCCCGCTTACCTGCAACCGGTTTGGCCTGGGGCACCCTCCTCTTCTTCAGGTCCTCATCCTCTGGGACATAGTTCCGCAGTCTAAGTTCCCTGCAAGGACGGAGAGAACAAGCAAAGACAAAGTCAGTATGTTACATGGTCTCATTCATTCACTCCTACAACTTGCATAGCAAGTGACTTCCCGACTTTCCTCCGTGGTCTCTGGAGATGGCCTGGTAAGGAGGAAAAGCACAGAACAGAGTGTCATCGGGCAGGCCCCTTGGCACCGTCCCTGCCACTTAGTGGGAATGGCTGCCCTCCAGAGGCCCTGTCTACTCTGTTGGAGTATGGTTCTCTTCCAGAGCTGGGCCAAGGAGGCCTAGGGAGCATCCACAGGGTGTCTCTCCTGGATCATCCCATTTGACAGCCAAGGGGACTGGAGGTCTGGGAGACGCACCCTTTTCATAAAATCACATAGCAGTGGCTGCACATCTGAGCTCAAGGCAAGGTATGACTCCCAGCCAGGGTTAAAGCTCCTGGGCTGAGTGATTCCTAAAAGAGAAGGTCAGTGGCCACCCACCAGTTCCCCAAGTCTGGTCCTCTTCAGAGCCTTCCTGCCCTGGGGCTCATGCCAAATACATCTCAACTGCTTAAAGAAAAGCATCTGGGTGTTCTGCGCCAGGGGCACGTGGCAGTGAGTGAGGAGGAGTGACGTGTGGACAGACAAGCAAGTGCTGGGGAGCTCCAGAGGGGCGCGGCTGCCTACAGTCGTGGGATGTGAAGGGGAGGGATTCCAGGAGGAGGTAGCACCTGGGCCTGCAGAGGATGTGGACAGGGTCAAGGCACAAAGCACATGAGAGGACTGCTGGGAGTGGCCCGTGAGAGCTGTGAAAACAGGCATGGCCATGTGCAAGACCGGGAAGGCCACAGTCTACCTGGACAACACTGAGAACGGCACAGCCCCCAAGGCCTCCGTGAAGACAGAGGAGCCACAGGGGCTAGAATCACCTGGTGGCAGCTGCAACTACTTACCATGCTTTTATTTTCTTCCTGCCTCAGTCTTTTCAGGCAGGGGTGGCTGAGCCAAGAACTCACTGGCTCAGGGGCTCATCAAATCCCAGCCCCACAAACACAGAAGCAGGCTGCCAGGAAGAGGTGCCCCTGGCACCTCTGAAGGGCAAGAGGTCCTGGGGGCTGCTGGGTCTAAGAAAGAAGGCAGAGGCAGTGGGACAGAACCCCTAACCCTGGGGGATGCAGGAGTGGCCCCTCACATGCTGGCCAGGTGAGACTAGGCCGCAGGTCCTCCTCCTTCCTCAGTACCTCTTTTGGTTCTTGACCGCTGGTCCCTCAGTAAAGTCCTGAGCCTCTAAGGCAGGAAACAACTTCCCAGCAGGCGTCTCACAGTCTGCATCTCCCAAGCCCTCTGTCTGGACCAGGTAAAAGTGCTGCTGACTTCCTAAGGCCCTGTGAAAGCGAGCTTTCCCAGAGGCAAGGCAGTGGGTGTCTGTGGCCACGCAGCTAGCTAGCGGTGGTGCTTTGGACTTAGGGGTTTTCAGATGCCATCCATTCTCCTATTCAAGAGCTCCACCTGCTTCCTGCCCCAAGCTCACTTACCATCTCCTTCCCTCCTGCCAGGGCCCCTGGGCCTGAAGCCTTGGGGCTGGGCTGAACCACTAGGGGTTGGGGGGATGGGGCAGTACCAGCATCATCCGTGTGGAGGAAGCCCACCTGCACTCCCAAAACCTGCTTCCTCTAAGGAGCAGAGACACCCCACCCTGTCCCCCATCCTTGAATGCTTGCCTTGGGCTAGGGGTATATGTCAGGTCACGGAGGTACAGGGAGACAAAGTGGGGCATGACTGGGTGCAAAAGCTTTCGTTCACAACAGGGTGGGGAGAAATGAGGAAGAGAAACTGGGTGTGGGAAGAAAACTGCAGGGATTAGTAAGAAAAAGAACTGTCACTTTCAGAAACCGTCTCCAAAGTTCTGTGAGAAATCAGTAGGAGAGAGGAGAGGCCCAAGGGAACTGTACCCACAGCTCACAGCAGCAACAGACACCCATGCCTCCAGCCCCACCCGCTGCCCAAGGCTTCAGAAGGCCGGCTAGAGGATGAAGCCAGGCAAGAGGCGGGAGCAGAGCCTTGCACCCACTGTGCCCTGCCACCCCAGAGCACTGGCCAAGCAGCCAAAACACCGAGGTCCCAAACACTACGGGAAGGTCCCATTCCATGCCTCAGTTTCCACATTTAGAAACACTAAGGCTGCGCTGGGTGCATCCAGCTCCATCACGCCCTCCCCAGACTCATTCTTGGAGAGCTAATCTAATGTGCAGCCACTGTTGTGTGATCGCATGAAAATGGTGCAGTTTCTCGGACCTCCAGTCCCCTTAGCTTGGAGAGCTAAGTGACTTTCCCTCCCTAATGCCCCCTTAACTGCCCACCCCTGAAATTCCACCACTACCAAAGGGCAGGAGTCTCTCTGGGAGAGGTCAAGGAGCATGGGGTTCGGCTTGGGGACCTGGCCTTTCCAACACAGGCCCCTCCCTTATAAAGGGAGGTTAAATCATGGGCAGCTTAACAAATCTGATGCAAACATATTTTTTAAAATATTTCAGCTGGGCCCAGTGGCTCATGCCTGTAATGGCTCATGCCAGCACTTTGAGAGGCTAAGGCAGATGGATCACTTCAGGTCAGGAGTTTGAGCCAGGCCTGGCCAATGTGGCAAAACCCTGTCCCTACTAAAATTATAAAAATTAGCAGGATGTGGGGGCACACGCCTGTAATCTTGGATATTTGGGAGGCTAAGGCAAGAGAATTGCTTGAACCTGAAAGGCAAAGGTTGCCATGAGCCAAGATCGCACCACTGCACTCCAGCCTAGGCTGCAGACTGTCTCAAAAAAATAAAATAAATAAAATTAAATTTAAAAAAATATATATATACACACACACAATATATATATTTATATTTTTTATATATAGTATTTATATATATAAATATATATATATATATTTATGTATATAATTTTATTTATTTATTTATTTTTGAGACAGAGTCTGGCTCCATCGCCAGGCTGGAGTGCAGTGGCACAATCTCGGCTCACCACAACCTCCGCATCCCAGGTACAAGCAATTCTCCTGCCTCTGCCTCCTGAGTAGCTGGGACTACAGGCGTGCGCCATCACACCCAGCTGATTTTTGTATTTTTAGTAGAGACGGGGTTTCATCATGTTGGCCAGGATGGTCTCGATCTCTTGACCTCGTGATCCACCCGCCTCAGCCTCCCAAAGTGCTGGGATTACAGGCATGAGCCACCACGCCCAGCCTATAATTTTTTTTAAATTGTCCTTGGAGAAACACCAAGACAAGGACTCCAGGGGCTGCAATCATGGAGATGAGGGAAGTACAACAAAGTGAGCCTGACATCACGCCCCTCTTTCTCCTGAAAGTGTCTATTTACATGCAGCAGCTGAAAAGGTGAGAGTGAGCAGAGCTTCCTATTAGGTTGGTACAAAAATAACTGCGGTTTTTGCCATTAAACATGGTGGAAGGCCAGGCACGGTGGCTCACGTCTATAATCCTAGCACTCTGGGAGGTCGAGGCAGGTGGATCATGAGGTCAAGAGATTGAGACCATCCTGGTCAACGAGGTGAAACCCCGTCTCTACTAAAAATACAAAAATTAGCTGGGCATGGTGGTGCGCACCTGTAGTCCCAGCTACTCGGGAGGCTGAGGCAGGAGAATTGCTTGAACCCAGGAGGCAGAGGTTGCAGTGAGCCGAGATCGTGCCATTGCACTCCAGTCTGGGTAACAACAGCGAAACTCCGTCTCAAAAAAAATAAATAAACATGGTGGCAGAAGCCACAATTACTTTTGCACCAACCTCATACAATTTCATGGGCCTGAAGAGGGGAAAAAAAATGTGTGTTAAGGGCAGAAAACTAAAACTGACCGCTGACTTTTAACTGAAACTATGGAAATCGTAAGACAATAAAATGGCATCTCAGAAGGGTGGACAAAATAAATGTCACGTAAGTGTGGACAAAATAAATTCTAAATCTAGTTAAGAAGCCTTTATGAGAAAGATTTTTCCAGACAAAGAGAAGTTAGGAGAATTAGTCATCAGTGGATCTGTTATTCAAGAAATACTAAAAGGAATACTTTAGGCTGGAAGAAAATGATTTCAGACAGAAATATGGAATTGTAGGGAAAAATAAAATGCCTCAGAAAGGGTAAATACAGTGGCTTGCACCTATAATCCCAGCTTGGGAGGCTAAGGCAGGAAGATTGCTGGAGCCAGGCTGCAGAGGGCTATGATCACACTACTGCACTCCAGCCTGGGTGACAGAGCAAGACCCTGTCTAAAAAATGAACAGGGGGAAAGGGGTAAATACATAGGTAAATTTATGTGAATATTGACTGTATAAAATAGTAATAATGAGGGCAGAAAGAGTGGCAAATAGCCTTAAAGTGTTTTAATGTCCTAGCACTGTATAGGAAATGATAAAAATGCTACTATTTTCTATTAGACCTTGACAAGTTAAGGATGTATGTTGTTACCCCTGTGGAAATTACTAAAAGAAAGGGAAGAGCGTATACAATTAACAAGTTACCAGAGGAAGAAAGTGGAATGATTAAAAACAAAAAAATCCAAAAGGAGATGAGAATAGAGAAAGGAAAGTGAAGAAGCAAATAGTAAGACAACAGGTCCACACACAAAGCAGGCCCAGGCTGCCATTCTAGGGGCTCCCATAGCCTTGCAGTGTCCAGGGCCGCCACAGCTCTTGGAGACTGGGCAGGGTGTAATGACACAGTACCAGCCAGACCAGTAGGGCAGGCTAACACCTGATATCTTGTCAGCTGGCCAGAAATGCTGAAGCAGCCTGCACTCACCAGCAGTCACTGGCATCTGGAAGCCACCTTTCTGAGGACCACTGGAGCCAAACACTGGTTCTGCCACCCCAATTTAAGCATGAGGAGGTTGCTAAGGGGAGAAGATACTAGCTCTAGCTAGAAGAAAGAAAAGCAAAAATGCTGACAGTCGTTATCTCTAGGAGTGACTTCTCTTATAAGAGATGGGGTCTCAGCCGGGCACAGTGGCTCACGCCTGTAATCC